TCAGAAATTTTCGACGGATTTATATTTCCGACGGAAAATTCCGTCAGAAATTTCTGATGGAAATATAAATCCGTCAGAAATTTTCGACGGATCCATATCCGTCGGAAATTTACATTTTTCTTGTAGTGTTTCATTTTGGGAACGGCCCGTTCCGGAAAAACCCAAATAGGCCTTTTTACATATTTGGAACGGCCCGTTCCACTTTTGGAATGACCCGTTCTGCCACTTCAAAAACAATTTAATTTCTTCGTTTGGAACGACCCGTTCCACTTTTGGAACAACCCGTTCCAGCGTAAAGAAACAGAATTTTATAAAAATTTTCACAAATAACTAAATTATTACAAACCTTTAAAATATTTTATAAAACCCTCTTTAATTAACTAAAACAACTATAAGAAAATAATCTTCATAAATATATAAATAAATAATTACATTAGTAGAAAATTCAGGGTGTTACAATATATGCATGCTCTATTTTGCGTGGTATTGTTTTGTTGTGCGACGGCTAGATGGATCGTTACAATACTTTCATTACATTAATGAAAAAAATATTTTTTATTATGTTAATTAGTATAATTGTTGAAATATAACAATTTTTTTTACATGTCTTAAGGTATAAAATTAAAGTAATAGAATAAACAATGCAAACAATATAATGGTTAAATAAAAAATTAATATGAAAATATCCATAAAAAGTAATAGAATAGAATAAAATAAACCTATTATATTTATAAATATATTGAAGTATAATATTATATTAATAAAATAAATATTGTAATGATTAAAATGAATAGTGTAATATAAAAATATTGTTTACAAAATAATAAAAAAAAATTGGAAAGTTGACATAGTATACATATAATTATAGGTTTGAACTTTATGTTATCATTGTAATTTAAATCGATAAAAATAAATATCATATGTTTGACATAATGGAACAAGACAAATGGAAAAGAATAAAAAATTTCACATTATGCGAAAAAAGGGTAAACAAAAATTAATATATTTTAAGGGTAGAAAGAAAAAAATATAAAAATAAGTGTGTGTTTGATAAACCATTTCAACAGTTTAAAAATTATATTTTTGACTAATTAATAAATAATTTTAACCAAATATAAAAAAATATTAAATTCTAATCAACATACTTAACAAAACCTGTAATATCATCAATTTTGGTATTATTTATTAATAGCATTCCATTCTTGTCCTCTCTCCAAATCCCAATGACTAATATTATTCATTAATGTGGTGTCAAAAAATAAATATTATTTATTAATGTCTATGTTATTCAACTTTTATTTCAAGCAAATTTTGGACTGAACACAGATAATATTTTCGATGATTTAATTATATAGTCATTATAAAATTATAAAATTAAATTTTCTAACATAATAACGATGAAAATATAGTTGGAACAAAGAATTTTGATTTTAATCCTTATGAAAATGTTGCTTTAGTTTTCATTTTTCAAAAAAAGTTACAATCATATATTACTCATTAATTGCTTATATATTTTATGGAATGTCAATGGACTATCTCAAGTGACATACATTAATGTCTATGAAGAATGTTAGTATGCGATACTTTTTAAAAAAATGTATATATTTTAAAAATAAATATTATTTATTTATCTTGAAATAAATTACAAAAAAAATAATGATTTTAAATTTTGGAAAGATATAGAAATTAAATAAAAGTATTTTACAAATGACTAAAATTAAAACTCACTCATTTTATAATACCATAAATAATGATCTAATTTTTAAAAAAAAAATACTTATATAGAACATAATAAAAAACAACCGTATATCTATTTTTAAATTTTGGTTTAGTTGGAATGATGACCAAATGAGGTGTTTGATTCAATACTAGTACATGACTCTTCTTTTACTGCTGTTAGTTTTTGTTTTATAATACTTAATTATGAAAATATATTTCAATGTGTGAAAGGGAAAGAGCAGTACAC